GACGATCTGTCAGTTGTAGGTGGCGGAGTACTCCCGTTTTGGTTTTGAGGTGTTAGTGTACCAACTATAGTGATATTTTTAGAAGTGCTCCCTTTATCTGCATAGATGAATAAATCCATTTGGTAGTCCCTCTTTCCAGAACTACGTCTCACTCGACTCTTATGTGAACAATTGAACTTAATGATGAAACGCTGTATTTCAGTTGCTGAAATTTCATACAAACCATCTTTCGAGGAATTCACGAGTTGCGCATCACTCTCATTAGCATTGCACATTGTCACTTTAACTTGAATTTGTTTAGTTGGTTTCGCATCAACGACGTCTGTTACACTGAAACTGTACGATGAATTAGCTTCTACACGAAAAGAGATTTCAACTCGACCACTGGGAGCCAGATTCTTAGTCCAGTTGCCGATCTGCGTCGGTAAATCAGGTGCTGCGGTGGACGATCTGTCAGTTGTAGGTGGCGGAGTACTCCCGTTTTGGTTTTGAGGTGTTAGTGTACCAACTATAGTGATATTTTTAGAAGTGCTCCCTTTATCTGCATAGATGAATAAATCCATTTGGTAGTCCCTCTTTCCAGAACTACGTCTCACTCGACTCTTATGTGAACAATTGAACTTAATGATGAAACGCTGTATTTCAGTTGCTGAAATTTCATACAAACCATCTTTCGAGGAATTCACGAGTTGCGCATCACTCTCATTAGCATTGCACATTGTCACTTTAACTTGAATTTGTTTAGTTGGTTTCGCATCAACGACGTCTGTTACACTGAAACTGTACGATGAATTAGCTTCTACACGAACAGAGATTTCAACTCGACTACTGGGTGCCAGATTCTTAGTCCAGTTGTCGATCTGCGTCGGTAAATCAGGTGCTGCGGTGAACCCATGCGTAGATGTAACCGTGGACCCATGCGTAGTTTCATATATGATTGCACTTGTTGTGCCCTCAGATTCCGTCTTCTTTGTTGTGCCATCAGATTCCATCTTCTTTGTTGTGCCCTTAGATTCTGTCTTCTTTGTTGTGCCCTCAGATTTCGTCTTCTTTGTTGTGCCCTCAGATTCTATCTCCTTTGTTTTGCTGTTTGATTTTGTCGTACTTTTTGTGGCGTCAGACTCAGCCTTCTTTTCTCTGCGATCAGAATTCGTCTCCTTTTCTGCGTTCACAGGCGGAATTACTGGTGGAGAATGGGAACCGTTAGGGTTTTGGTTTATTTTGAAACTGTATAATGGTCCGATTTTTACAGATATGTTCAGTCCAACTGGATCATCGTTTTCCAGAGTTTTGGTAGTTTCGTTCAAGATCCTCTCAGGTGCTTCACTTGCGGCGGTTATTTGCACTGTTTCTTGTTTACTTGCAATCATCGGTCCATTAGCCGGCAGGTTGCCTGAAAATGTTTTCATCCATCTTAGGTATTGCATTAATCTTCGTCCCGAAATACATCCCGAAATCAACTCATTTTCCGGGTTGCGCACGGAGTGGTGATGTGAATGAACTTCCGTTCGCGTATGCTGCTGGACCGCGTATTGCGGTTATCATGTTATTCATTTAGTTTGGTTATTGTAGGTTCATCTGCAAGCATTTTCATATCTAGTGAAGGATCCGTGCGGTAGATTTTTGATTTACTGTGAACATCTTCGCTTCGTTGTGCCTGTCATTTTTGCTGCTTATTCAATGCATTCTTTCGTTCAAAATAATGGCTTTTTTGCTTTGAGCTGTCTGTCAACGACTAATTTTAGGTATGACTGCTGTAAGCGT